ACACAGTGAAATGGGAACTGTCAAGAGCAGTTATTCATATCCTAGATTATCAGATTATTCATCCCCAAATCTTTAAATCCATATTTAATATTAAAACTTACATACACTGTATCATAAAATGATAGCATACTGAATTAAATGAGTGTTAAATTTAATTATTTGGGGAGCTTTTTTGCCCCTTATATTCCACAGACCTCACTCTGCTAGAGAGATGCATTCACTTGTCATCAACCTTTGGACAAAATAGAGCTTTTGAAAAAGGAGGTGGGTGTGTAGCTCAGTGGCGGGGCACCTGCCTGGAGCACGCAAGGCTGGGTGGGCCCCAGCACCACCACAGAAAGCCAACAGAAAGATATCCTGTAGTTGTTATTAATCACGAAAGCCACAACATAGGCTGAGTGAGGTACTCGTAACGGCTGTAATCATACTGTCCAGGTTTGGTATTACATTATTGTTACTATCCTTTTTGCCTCAAGAGGTAATTTCAGATGACATAATGTGGAGTATTGAAAGCTGTTTACTATATAAGCAAACATTTTGGTTTAGAAAGCCAAACATTTAAGAAAAAAGCTGGTTTATTTTAACTACTCTTAAAATTGTTTTTCTCTTAAACTGTAGAAGTCGATAATTATCAGGCTTCTGTTAAGATAAAAAATAATGATTTGTCTTAAGCAGGTGTGAAAATATTACATTTTATTTTTCAATTTATTTTCTGCCAAATAAAGCTGATACAACATAAAAGATCTAGCCTGTGGCTCCAGATAGCGCACTTTAAGAAGCCTGGTGGTAAATAGAATCCTTTTCCCGAAGGGCTTTAAGTCCGATGTGCTTTCTGTAAGGACATTGTGACTTCTGTAATCTGGGTTCCACTTAGGCTCCCCTGGAGGTGAAAGAGGTTTCTGAGTGACCCTTTTCCACCAGTTATCTTTCTCCTTTCCATAAACGGTCCCGTGGCTCTCCGCACACCCTCATCCCCTGGGCAGTGCGTGTAGGGCTCTCCTCGTGCCTTGGTTGCAGACAGCTCCACTATGTGCTGTCCCCAGCCTGTCGCCGTGTCTCCCCCCTCCTCACCCTCCTCCCTTCCCCACGTGTGTCCCCAGCTCCGCGCTGGCCTCCCCTCACCTGCTCAGTCTTTCCCAGCTGTCCCGACCTGACCTCTCGCCGCACCCTCATGCCGTGTCCAGGTGCCGCTGCGCCTGCCGAGGCCACAGTCTACTTGGCGGTACTCGCTGTCCCCTTAGCACGCTGGGTCTGGGACAGGAGGGGCTGGTACAGATTTGCTGGATGAATTAAATTCACTTCATTCTCCTTCCTAGCTTCCGTCATTAGTTTCATTATTCTCATTTCTCAGTGGCATTGCAAATAATTTCCTGTGTGTTTCTTTTTTGACACACGTCTTCTATGTCATTAGTTATTTTCGTGCCCTGTACCTAAGGCCCTGCGCACCTCAGGCCATGAGACTTCCGCAGCTTCCCAGCTGGCGTGCGCAGTCCTCAGCTCTGCTTTCCCGAGCCATTTTACTCAAAGCCACCCGATAAGTTTTTAATGTCAGTTTGTTGTTTTAATAACGTTTTATTTTCATAATAACTTTAGGTTTACCGAAAATCTCCAGACAGTCTAGAAAGTGCCTATAACTTTCAGCTTTTCCTCGTGATAACGTCTTCTGTAGCCACCGGCTCATTTGTCAAAACTAACAAATTAATATTGTTATATAACCATTGGCAAATTAACATTGTTACATACCATTAAGTAAAATATGGCTTTTCTGAAATATTCATAATTTTTTCATTTCTATAGTTTTTGAACTGTAGGATATAAGCCAGGGAACCATATTGCAGTTAGCTTTTTTATTATCATTATCATTGTTATTATTGTTGTTGTTATTCTTTGTACTACTGAGAATTGAAATGAGGCAAGGTCTTTACCCTGAGCTTTATCCTCCAGCCCCCCCTTTTTTATTTTTATTTTATTTTGAGATAGGGTCTTGCTAAGTCACTTTATTTCCCAGGCGAGGCTCAAACTTGCTACCAGTCCTCCTGCTTCCCTTCTCTCTCCTGTACTGGGGTCAGCCACCCAGAATGCTAGGATTATAAGATACACCACTATACCCACCAGCATATCTATTTTTAAATAGGTAATAATAGTTTTGTTACAAATTCAAAACAGCAAAAAAGATAATTGCTTGCCACTTCTAAACCTCAGAGACCCTCTGAATTCTCTTCTAAACCTCAGAGACCCTCTGAATTCTCTTTCCTACAGACTACTAGTGTTTCCGATTTCTTAGATATCTTTCCTGAAAGGTACCTTCTCTCTCTCTCTCTCTCTCTCTCTCTCTCTCTCTCTCTCTCTCTCTGACACACAAATAATTGCTTTCTAAGTATATTACTCTGTACCCTTTTTCAATTTAATATAATTTGATCATCCCTCACCAGCAATACAGTTGCTTTTCCCCATCCCATTTAGATATCTGTACTATAATTTATCAGATCCCTCCTGATTGACATCTTTTAATTTTATAAACCATGCTGCCGTGAGTATCCATATACAGATGTATACATTTTATACATGTAAGTTGCTTTTGTTAGTGCTGAGTGAAAGGGCAAGTGTATTCATAATTTCCCAGTTAGGTGTATTTTTCCATTACATTTATCTTTACCATAAAGTCAGCAACATTGTGTTTAATGAAACTTTTTGAAATTCACTAATTTAACAGTTAAAATAATGTCAGTCTGGCTGGGTGTAGTATCACGTGCCCTTAATCCTAGAACTGGGGAGGCTGAGGCAGGAGGATTGCTGCAAATTCAAGGTCAGAGTAGTGAGTTCAAGCCCAGCCCAAATGACATAACAAGACCCTGTCTCAAAAAACCTTTGTGTCTCTCTGTCTTTCTGTTTCTGCCTCCCTGTCCCTCTCCTTCCAGTACTGGGGATTGAATCCAGGGGCTTCACACTGAACTACATTCTCGCCTCCTTTTTGAATTTGTAGCAACACACAGTCTTGCTAAATTGCCTCAGCTGGGCTAGAACTTCTGATCCTTCTGCCTCAGCCTCGCAGAGTGCCTGGATTGCAAGTACGCGCCACCGTGCCTGGCTTCTGTTTCTCTTCTACTGAGTGAGGTCAGGTGTCTTCATATATTTAAGAGCTGTTCATATTTATTCTATCAGCTTTAAAGAGAACCAGCATTCACACTCCAGAAATGTGTGTGTGGCCCCAACAAAAGAGAGAGAGAGAGAGAGAGAGAGAGAGAAAGCGCAGGCATCTGATATTGGATACAGCTCTCGTGATAAAGCCTTAGGTGTCTACTGAGTTAAGAATATAATGCATTAAAAATATAAAATAATAAATTTATAGCAGCCAGATTCTACAGGTATTTTTCTCTTAATCATACGTCATTTGACAGCTGTCTTGAGTACTGTATTTTAAAGGGGGCATGGTGAAATTAAAGTACCATATTGTTTTGCTATTCCCGCCACAAAAAAATTGTGATCAACTTTGTGACTCAGAAACAACACAAATGTAAGCCGGTTGTCATGTGCCTGCCCTTCACCCAGCACTCAGGCTAATCCCAATACTAGGGGACAGGAAGATGTGGAGTTTTGAACCCACCTGGACAACTTGGCCTTGTTTTTGTTGTTGTTTGGGGTTTGTTTGTTTTGAGATAGGGTCTTAGAGCCAGCCATATAGCTCAGCGGATTAAAGCGCCTGCAAGCAGGTGCAGGGGCTGGGGGTTCGATCCGGGCCTGCCATGCGGGCCCTGCCCCCGGGGTGCACCGCAATGGTAATTGAGACTGGACGTGGTGGTATGCCTGTAATCCCAGCTCTTGGGAGGTTGTAAACAGGTGGATCACTACGAGTCTGTTCTAGTAGTAAGATCCTGAACACCCTGTAGACCCTTACTTAAAATTTAAAAAAAAAAAAAAGGATAGGGTCTTGCTATGTAGTCCAGGCTGGCTTTGAGCTCACTGTGTAGGCTTCAAACTTCTGGCGACCCTCTTGCCTCAGCTTCCAAAGTTGCTGGGGTTACAGATATGTGCCACAATGCCCAGCTTTCCTTGGGCAATTTAGTAAGACTGTCTCAGAATTAATAAAAAAGGACTGAGAATGTAACTCAATACAAAGTCTCTGGATTTAATGCTCAGTGCTAAAAAAACAAAACAGAAAACTCTACAAATGTATTATCTTACAGTCTTTAGGCTGAAAGTCCAGCATGGGTCTTACTGGCCTAACGCCCAGGTGACATCAAGGCTTTGCTCCAAAATCCATCTCTTGCCTTTCCTAGGTTCTGCAGGACACCTTGATCCTCAACACTGGTGAAAGGAGGTTGAGTCCTCTTCTCACAGCTCGCTGACCACAGCTGGGGAAAGTTCACAACCTTTAGAGGACCTGTCAGGATAAGTCCCCTCATCTCACGGCTCTAGCCTTGATCAAATGCACGAGATCCCTTTGGCTATGTACAGTTATATATCAGCAAGTTGTGCTGGTTAGGATGTGCACAACTTTGTGGGGAGGGCATTAGCCTGCCTATCACAGTGCTCCTGCAGGGGCGCGAGAGGATGGCGAAGGAGTCAGCCTGCATACATGGAACTGGGATAAGAAGATTTGAAGACGACTCCACTGTGTATTGCCTGGTGAGCAGAAGATGTCTCTATCATAATTGGCGACTGCTTCGAAGGCCAGAGGTACAAGTTGCAGGCATACAGTAACTTCGAAAGGAAGCTCAGTGACATGCAAGAGGGTATGACAGCATAACATTTCATCTGGCAAAAAAACGAATTTGGGATCTAAGTTCTCACGTCTACATTAAGGTGATTTGAAAGAAAGTCTCCCAAGAAGCCTGCCTTGTTTCCTCACTAGTAACATGGGAGAATGGAGGAGAATGAGATAAAGAAACCAGAGAGAACTTTCTAGCCCGTTTCTTCAATTATTGCACAATAGATCTAGAGAGGAAGGGAAACATAAAGGAAGAAAGTAAAATATTTGAACTTCAAAGGATTTTTTTTAAAACCCTAGGAACATACTGGAGTAGGAAATCCCCTCTTGAGACCAAAACCAGCCAGTATGTTCCATCAGAGATTAGGAGATTTTTTTTCAGACTTTTGCTGTAATCATCCTTCCATTTGTCTCTTCCAACACCTGCAATTCAGCCTGGGAGAAGTTGCTGATAAGCAACCGTGGCCCAGGAGTTCAGGGAGCAAACCCTCCCACCTTGCTGCTGGGTGGTGGCTTCCAGGCCAGTAAATGTGTATCGGCGTGAACCTGATCCAGAAAGGGCCAGGAAGGGGACAAAGTTTAGTCTGTGAGGGAATCGGTGGCTGCTGCTAGCTTCGTGCTGTTTGTCCAGGCTTCGGCTCAGTGTAAGTAGTTATGTTGTTTTTTTAAAAATCTGTTGTAACTTTTTAACATAAAAAGGAGAGTATGAGTAACTCCCATAAGATTAAATCAAGCTCTGACTTGGCCTTCAATGCTGTGTACTAGATCTGCTTAAAGGAAGGCTTGGGCAGTTCACAAGTTGTATTTTTTAAAATGAAAAGGAAAGCTGGGAAGCTTCTCAGCTCTTCAACAGGTCCTGCTTGGTGTTTGTTTGTTTTGTTTTTTTCCCGGTACCAGGGATTGAACTCAGGACCCTGCTCTTGCCAGGCAAGCACTTATTCTACTGAGCTATCTCCCCGGGTTCCTGTTTGTATAAAACTATTTTTGACGTTTCTTGGGGGTGTTTATAGTCAGAAAGTAACCGCGAGTGACTGTGTGTCTGCTGCCCTGGGACCTCTTACTTCCAAAACTGCTTGGATCCCCTGCACGCTCCTTCCAGTTGCTTTTCTTTTAGGCTAGGTTCTCGTCACAAATTTGTGGTAGCGAATATCACTGTGATATAATTAAATTGGTGATTTTTATGTTTAAAGAAATTAAGTGAATGAGAATAAAGTGAAAGCTAAAAATGTAGCAGAGCATTGGGATCCTCGATGTCAGGGCGGCAGAATGTATTTCCAGAGAGGAAGAACTTGGTAAATATGAGTGACGTGCCAAGCAGCCTCAGAATGTGGCTACTTGGGAGAAATCATTACTTTTTTTTTTTTTTTTTTAAGAGTGTAACATCTGTGCTGATTTACTAAACGAAATTACTAACTCTATAGTGTCTAAAATAACTTGTGTATATAAAATTAGAGTTGCCATGTTTCAGCTATTCTTGTTCTAATTTGAATTTAAGGTTCCAGGAACTATTCATTGTTACATAATCGTATTGACTTTGTTAAGTGCAGCTATGAGAATGTTAAGGTTGCATTTGATGTTTTGCCAAAATCGAGTTTGTTTCCCTTTTAACAGTGTACTGGGGGGGGGGGTCTTGGTACCTGATAATTTTACAGCTTTGAATCTACAAATAAAGTCTGATGCAGTTAATATACTGTTAAAAAGTGCTAAAGGTTGGCTTTGGGCGGCAGCTGTTCAGATCACTTGGGAAGTGAGCTAAGCTAGGTGGGAGGTCACCGGGTTCCCCTTTACTGTCTTCACCTCGCCCTGAGCTCAGGGACATTCAGTCCACTCTCCTGCCTGCTCCTTATCCCTGCTCTCAGGAGTGGGAAAGCAGGCGGCAGCGTGGGCCCCAGCTGCCTCTTGGGATGGGAGCCCAGGACACACTGTTCCCAGCAGCCTCTAGGACTGTTGTGAAGGGCCGGTCTTCACTCATCCTGCACCTCGGTGATTCTGGGCCCTGGGCTGCTGAACTTCCCCACGCCTCTTCTGGGCCAAGTGACTTCCAGTACTTAGTGGTGGATTCACGAGGCAGGTGGAGGGAGGGCGTGGGGAGCTGTGGGGAAGAAGCCAGGGTGGCAGGCGACTCTGTTCCAGGGAAGCAGCTGTGTCCCAACTGGATCTGAAATGTCTCAGTCTTTCAACCGCACAGGTGCGGCCTGGCCCATCTCAGCCAGACCTCTTTAAGCCCCTGCAGCATCCAGGCTGTTACCCAGGCCCGCAGAGCCCTCCGTCTGGTCTGCGCCCGTCTCGCAGAGCGGCTTCTGGGCTTTCCTGCCTCTGCTTGCTCCCATTATGCGGGTAGTGTTGCTGTTGCTTGAATGCATCGCTGGCCTTCCTGCCTGAGGCCGCCGTTGCCTAGAAAGCTCTTGCCCTGGTTGTTTCTCCCCTGCAGCCAGCCATTCAGTTATCTTGAACTCAAAATGATCCTCCTGCCTCCCGCCTGCTGCGATTATAGGCACGTGCCACTACACCCAGCTTCCTTCTTCCTTTAGCCTGATTTAATTTTTTTTAAAAATAGCATTCTGGCATTAACTTATGCATTTTAAAAATGTATTTAGAATGCACACACACACACACACACACACACAATTGTTTTTGTTTCTTAGATTATAAGTTCTAAGAGCACCACTGCTATTGACACTGATGCAGATACTTGGTAATTAGTTATATGAATAGATTATCCTCACTGGTATCATTAAAATGTATTTGTAAGTGTAGGAATGTTCTTCTCACCCTGGCTGGTTCCCGACTCATCCATTTCCTACTTGGGGTCCCCAAATCACTGCTATTATTTTTTCATGTATCCTTGTAGATCTTCTTAATGGAAATGCAAGGATATATGAAAGTGTAGACTATCTTTCTCCTGTTTAGACAAAATTTACACAGTTCTGAATGACATTTGTAATATATGCTGTGTATCTTTCCCTCTTAGTACTTACAGAGCTTCCTCATTTTTAAATAGGTGCATATTATTCCGTTATATGGCCGTACTATAATTTATTTAACCAGTCACCTAGCAACAGTCATTGGTGTGTTTCCAGTGTCTTCCTGTTGTCAACAATGTTGAAGTTTAGACCTTGCCAGTGCACCATTTCACACGTGCATAGTGTGTCCGTGTGATTAAAGTCCCTGCTGTAGAATGACTAGACCAAAGGTATCACAGATACTGCCTTCCGCAGGGACAGTATCAATGTGTGTTCCCTTGGAAACGTGTACGATTACTCTTCCCATAGCCCTGCCAAATGAGAGTGTATTTGGAGCTTTGGAGTTCTGCCAATCTGATAGGTTTAAAAAATAGTTTCAACATAGTTGTTTTAGTTTTAAAATTTATAACAAATTTTCTGTTAATGTTTCTAAAGGTGTATTTTTCTTTTAATTATAATTTTAGAACAACACAAAATTTTCCAGTCCACCTATGTTTAAGTGTTGCATATTTACACGGTTGTGTAACAGAGATCCAAACCTTACCATCTTGCAAAACTGAAGCTATACCCATTAAATACCAACTCTCCACTTCCTGTGTATGTAGTCCCTGATACATTAGTACCTGTTGATCCTTTTTGAGACTCTTGTGTGCTGTGTTAGCCATCTTTCTACTGCTATAACAAAATACAATGTGCTAATTAGCTTACAGAGTGGAAAGGTTTCTTTTGCTCACAGCTTTGGAAGTTTCATGCTATGATCAGGCAAATCCATTACTTTTGCAGTCTTGTCATGGGGTAAGAGGTGCAGCTCATCAAGGCAGGTGCACTTGGTGTAACAAAATCATTCACTTCAGGGCCAGATGTGGAAAGAGAAAGAGAACAGGACCCTCCTCCAGGGTAGGCCCCAGTGACTGGAAAACCTCCACTGGGTCCCACCTCTTAATGAGTTTCCACCACTTCCCAGTTGTGCCAGGCTGGAAGTCTGCAGCACCCAGCCCTCCGGGGAGCATCTGGGATCCACATTACAGCAGGGGTTAAATGGGAACTGTGTTGGCTCATTATAAAGAGCAAATGAGATACTCCATATGCAAACGAGGTGTTGCACATGTAAATGAGATGGTGCGTATGCAAATGAATGTTGCATTGTAAATGAGGTGGTGCATATGTAAATGGTTGTCGATATGTAAATTTGATAGTGCATATTAAATGCTTATGATGGGGACAAGGCAACAATAAAGGCCTACAGTTCAGAAGAGAAGTAAAATGGTCATTTTTCACACATGACAAGATGTGTACCAAAAAACCCATCATAAACTTTATTTGAAAACTATTTGAACTAATTAATGAATTTTTCAAAGTCACAGTTCGCAGTTAGTATGGTCATTAGAAATAATTAGGACAGCTAAGACATTAGAAAATAATTAAAAATATAAAAGTAAAATATTAAAGTAAAATATTAAAAATATAAAATACTTTCTCGTTAAAATTAATAAAAATTTAAAAAAAAAATATATATATATATAAAACACTTAAATCCTCAAAAAGAACACAAAACCTCTATATAGTACTGAAGACTATAAAACATTGCAAAAAGATTTAAACCTGAAGTAAAAAATATGTATATATAGTATATATGTCAAATGTATATATGTCAAAAATATATACAGATATTCCTCATTTAATAAACTTCCTGTTTAATGACTGTTGAGAATTACTACCAGGCACACTGGGCTTTTTGTTGTTGTTTTTGTTCATTTGTTTTATGGAAAATAAAACAAATTTTCATAACAAAATAATAGGCGAATACCAGTAGTTAATACATTGCATGTTGTTATCTTCCAAGTAGTTACTCACAGAACAAGATTTGGGCATCGGAAATTCTCCAGAGGCTCTTAGCACAAGTCTCTCTTTTCAAAAACCTAAGTGAAACTAGTCGTATAACTAGCTTGTATTTTTTTTCCTTTTTCCTTCTTTCCTTTTCCTTTCTGCCCCTCTAGTTCTTCTCTTTTCAACAGTTCCTCCATTGCACAATATCTATCCTACATTTTGGTCTTTATTTACTCTTTCAGGTTTTCATACCAGAGAGACAGTACAGTGGTTACCCCAGTCTAATTTATTTCACTTATTGCATCCATTTGCCTATAAATGTCTCAAGTTTATCCTTTTTATGGAGGAGTTGTCCTCCATGTATAAAAGGAACAGTTTCTTTTATCCATTCCTCAGTTGATGGGCATTTGGGTTGTTTCCAAGTTTTAGCTAGTTCCAATTGCGTGACTGTAAATGTGGTGCATTTATCTCACTCTGGTATGATGTTGTGGTGCATTTATCTCACTCTGGTATGATGTTTTTCATTCTTCCAGGAAGATACCTAGGAGGGGAACAGCTGGGTCAAATAGGAACTCAAATCCTAAGTTTTTGAGGTCTCTCCATACTTATTTCCACAGTTGTTACACCAATCTGCACTCCCACCAACAGTGGAGAAGGGTTCCTTTTTCCCTACAGACCCTCCAGCACTTGTTATTATTGGTTGAATTCTTACTAATAGCTATTCTTTCCGAAGTGAGATGGAATCTCAGTGTTGTTTTAATTTGAATCTCTCAAATGACCAGTGATGTTGAACATTTTTTCATATATTTATCTGCTATTTGTATTTCTGTGTCTGAGAAGTGCGCATTCATTTA